GACAGGCTGTCTGGGACGTGAGAATTGCAAAAACAATCCCCACCCCATCACGGAGAGTGTGTGTGCACAGAGGAGAGGGAGTGTGAGGAGGGGGGAGAGAGGGAATGAGACAGACAGAGGGGAGGGAAGAAGGGAGGAGGGAGTCCAAGCTCTGAGAAACATCACTCCATCTCTCTCACTCCACAGGAGCTGAGCAAGGAGCAGGACGATGTTTGACAACACACAGTACCCCTATAACTGCTTTAATTATGATGGGGATGATTATCCTACCTGTAGTTCTGATGAAGAGAAAAAATTCACCAGACCAGCATACAGGTAAGATGAAGTTTTTCCAAATCTCCTCATCTCTGGGGAGGTTTCTGAGCTCTGGGATGGTGGGATCACAGATTCTGGGGGAGTGTGGGACCTCTCCCAGGTGTGAGCAGTGGGTCTGGCTCCGGTGAAACACCGCAGCAGGCAGTTTCCCCCCCATTCTGTGTTTGAAGTGTTCATGATTTGTTTTCTCCTGTGCGGGGTCACGGCAACTCTGGCATGCTGTTGAACCACCAGATCTCAGATGGTCTCCTCCAACCTCCAGGAGCCCCAGGAGAAGGGAAATTAACTATGCAATGTGCCAATGGGTGAACTGGATGCAGATAATCCCCAGCATGGTGGGAAGAGGTGCAGTGTAGATGTTCACAGGGGCACCTAAGGTCCTTTACACAAGCAGGCAAGGTCTCCAGTCACACTGTCTCTGAGCTTGGTCTGTCTCACTGCAGCTTTCCAGCTCAGAGAAACTTTTCTGATGGAGTTTGAGAGGTGGGTGATCTTTCTGAAATTCTCCTTTATCTAAGCACTCTGTACTGAGTTCCAGGGCAAACAGCCCAGCTGGGACTCAATTGCCTGGAACTAATGCCTGTGCATCACCCTGGGGGCTCAGGGCTAAGAGGCAGTGGCCACGCTCGGGACGTATCCCTGGGATGTCTCATGTCAGGGTGCAGATCCACTGGGAGAACTTCTGGGAGCAGGATATAGGCACACATGTACCCATGTGGTCCTAAAAACTGAGTGCATGTGTAAGGTGATGGTGTAACAGCAAGTTTTCCTTTTTTCAGCTACATTGCCTTAATTGCAATGGCCATCCAGCAAAGTCCTTCAAATAAAGTCACCCTCTCTGGCATTTATGACTTTATAATGAAGAAATTTCCTTACTACAGATCAAATCAAAGAGCCTGGCAGAACTCCATCCGACATAACTTATCGCTTAACAGTTGTTTTGTAAAGGTAAGATCAGTAACTGTATATTTACATACACCCTGTGCATGGCTAAAAAAATATATGCAGGGATAATCGTTTCCCTAGGAAAGAAGGAAAACAAACAGCTGAGCTGCAAATCACCTAAACTGTCTCTGAGTTGTCAATTGTAAAGAGTATATCTTTGTCTGGTGCGTGCTAATAGATAACAAATTGAAGAGGATGAAGTTTACATCCTATTCGTGTAATGAAAGAGAATAGACTTAAAAGTCTTGTCATATGTGTTTACACCATTCTTGAATGTAAATGAATGCAGATGTTAAGCAGCAGCATCTGTAACACATACAAATACTGAACTGCCTTTAAATAAATACAGGTTCCCAGAACAGAAGGGAATGAGAAGGGCAAAGGAAACTATTGGAGCTTTGCGACGGGATGTGAATCCATGCTGGATCTCTTTGAAAATGGGAATTACAGGAGAAGACGGAGGAGGAGGAACGTGAAAAGGGAACATAAGGAACAGAGACCAAGCAGAGGGAAAAGTCCCTCATCACCCGATACATCTTCTATGGACTCTTCTTTAAACAACATTTCCTCTTCTGGAAGTAAACATGGAAGAATTGAATCTGGCCCAAGACTGCTGGAGCCTCGTGGGTTTGCTCCAAACAGCATGACCAACAGGCAGAGCCTAAGCAATTCCTCCTTGGCAAAATCGGATTCTGAGATTAAATTCAGCATTGATTACATCCTTTCAGCCCCCGACCCTTTGCCTGTCCTGAGATCTCAATATAATATGCAAGAAAATAAATATCATCTACTGGAGGCCCAGCAAATTAATCTCCAGTTCTGGACAATGTGATTCTATTTCTTCATGGCAGAAAAGTCTGAGTTGCAGTGTATTCAGCAGCCTCATGTCACTAAAAACCAGCCGCCTGCCTCCTCGTTTTCTTCCCAAACAGTACTCAGAAAGGGTTACTGATTCACCAGCCGATGCTCTGTCTGTACCCAAAGAACTTTGCTAAGATTAGAGCATGAATAACAGCTACCAGTATCAGTTTTCACTATGCTAAAATTCATTAAATTCTAGCTTTGTTTTCGAAACTGTTGTGGGCACCATTTAACACCACAAAGAATTTCCTTTCTCAAGCAGAATCTGGCAGAAAAGAGACTTGCTTATCACCCATTGCTTTATTAAAGACAAAGTGAATTTGATTCCACTTTCTCTAGTGGAAATTAGGATTAATTTCACTGAAGTATATTGGTCAGAACTTAAGCTGATCTAAAATAGTGTAATTCTGTCGACTTACACTGGCTGAGAATGTAAGCAGGGGTGACTTTGTTTTCTTAAAAGGAATCACAGAATATCACTCTGTCTTCCCGTAGTTTTTATTTTAACATCATGTTTCAAACTGTTTTGCAGCTTTAATTCATCATTAATCAGAAAATATAGTTATTAATAAGTGTTTATATTTTTGTTGATATTCAGGGCAGAGTTGTTTAAACTGTTGAAGTGAAGCTGTATTCAGAATAATTGCAAGAAAGCAAGGCTGTTGAAGTCTGGTAGACTTTGATGGGTAATGTGACAGAGGCATAGGGCCTCTTCATGCCTCAGATTTTAAAAGATAAACAAACTTCCCCCTTTGTACAATCAGAAAGATTACAGAGATGCTGCAGGAAAGTCCTTGAACATATTTCATTTACCAAGTGTGAAGGGAAACCCGGCTTTGCAAGAAGCTGTATCCAGCATTGACCAAAGCTAGAATTCCATCTACCTGCTTTGAAACAAGTTGTGTATTCCTATTGAATAGATTTATATTGATCCTCCTTGCAAGCAATTACCAAAGTGGTACTTAATACAATTTCAGCAAAGCTGGTGAGACTTACAATTTGCAGATAGCAATATTAGATCATGAGCTCCATTTCTACAGAACGCCATTTCATTAACATTTACATGAGGTGGGATATTTCAGAACAGAACCTGATGGACAATGATGAACTGTAACGAGCATTTAAGAACTTGCTTTTATACAACTTGTCCACGATGAATTGCTTCCCAGTACCTAATGGCAGCATTAGTAAAGAGTCCACAAAATCTTGTGTTTGGCTTGGCTACAGTCTTCACCTACTGCAAATATATTTAAAAACAAAAAACAACAAGGATCCTGATGGTTTTAAGCAATTGTATATAAAGAGATGAAATTATCTGTGTAACATGAACTAAAGGTAAATGAAGGTGTATGAGATAAGATTAAACAAAATTGTGCTAGAGGAATGCTCAGGCACAACTTGAACTTTTATGCAGAAGGTCTGACATTTCACTAAGTTATTTTACATTGTGTCTAATATATACTGTACATTTATACTATATATTCTTATATATTGTTATTGAGAAATGGAGCAATATCGCTGCACTTACATGTTGTAAAAATGCATGATGTAAGTTGTCATGATGCTGAAACTCCTGCCATATACTTAAAATTTACCATCAGGGGTATTTCACACTGATTGGTAATAAATGCTCATTTTTTTGGAAAATGATAAAACTTGCTCTCTTCAGGCATTTCCACAGCACGTGACTTTGCTTCTTCTTCAGAAAAGACAGAATGAAAAATCATGTCAGGTACATCACTGCATGTCTTCCAAACTCTGAAGGAATGATTTCTTGTCACCAAATTCAGCCTTCAAATGGGAGCTTTCAATTCTCTGTGAATCAATGGTTATTCTGGGTGCTTACCTGAAAGCAAAATTTGACTCATTAGACCTGATTGATCTGCTGTTTCCACTGACATCAAAAAACAAAGAAAAATTCTGGGGTCACTGGAGATATGGATTCTCATTTGAAGAGGAACAAGAATTTGCTCCTTTAGTATTTATGCTCAGTCGTAAATAGGTGTGTGAAGAGCGTGTCCTCGTTTAGTACTTCGATGTATGAATGCACTCACATGTGGGTTGGTATATGTGCACCTCTAGGATCCTACATTTATATATTCATGCTTTAAACACAGATTTTTTTTTACTTTTTTTTATTGTTTTAAACATGGCAATGCTGCTGTTAAGCTGATGGTTATATACATCTGCAGTATATTTGAAATATATATATATTTTGCTGTGAAATGTGCAAATACGATTCTTACTATGCCTTCCTTGTTAATGCTGTTAGCAAAAGGTGGCTCAATGACAGCAAAAGTTCCTAATAAGCAACACCTTATGCAGGTGAACACAGTGGGCCTCTGAGGCCAGCGGACACATAGTTATGGCTACTAAGCAATATAGGATTCATATACTAGGAAAAGCAGAAATACACCCAGGTGGACTTACAGCAGAGATCCAAAACCATTTTCAGTAAGATGAATTAATATTCACAAATAGCCATGTCCTTTGCTTACAGTAAAGTGCCTGCTAGGGAGATACTGTCATACTTGAGTTTCCCTAACATATAATCAAAGAAATTTGTGTACAAATAGGTGTTAACATTTGTTTTGCAAAGGATATCAATCATATTTCAAAAAATGAAGGGACATATTTCAATTTACCCAGTATATTATATTCTGATGACTCCAGAAAGGTTTCCAGCACTTAAAGTGAATGGCATTTAATATAGAACAACATAACAGGGGTGAGGGCTAGATGTGACCTTATTCAAATGTCGTAGCCATTACAAAGCCATTCCCAATGTAATTATAATTAAATACTTTATGCCTTTCTTGCAAATCCTCTGATCGATCATTGATATTAACATTAATATTGTATTGCCCCCGAGCAAATGTCTCCCACACAAGTGTTATGGATCACCAGGTTTCCATTAACAAAGTTGTGAGCTATTGCCGTATGCTGGTCATGGTTAAATTTACGTAAATTACCTTTTCTCAGGGAAGGGGGGAAAAAGTCTACATTCTTTTCTTTTATCCCTGCACTCTGAGTCTAAAGCTGTTTCTTCAGCTCCTTCAGAGCCTGTCAGCCACTTACATAAAGCTGAAATGAAAGGAAAAGAAATTAAATCTCACAGGAACATCCCTCTTTGCCCTGTGTTGAGGCAGGTGAATATTTTCCATATGTAGCTGGTTTGATACACAGGTTAAAAGCTGAGCTGAAGCCCAGGCTGAGCAGTGCAGGGAAGGGGCCTGAATCCCACCAAGACCATCATGGGGCTGGTTAGGCTGTGCACAGCAGCCAAAAGGAGAAAAGGTATTGGTGTTTGGCTCAATTCCCCATCTCAGGAGGTCTTCCTGACTGCGAAGAGAAGCCCAGAATGAGCACTGGATTTCCTAACCCCAAAAGAGGAGCTTCTGTTGGGGGTCTGGCACTGTCTGTTCCAAGCCCGGGATGAGGCAGGAGGTGAGTGTGGGAGAGCAGCTCGTCACTGCTGGGCTGGCAGGGAAGGTTTTTGTCCTCTCCTTTTAGGATCATAAATACCTTTGTAAAGGAAAGATGAAAGGTTTCTTTCTGGGGAGAAGCTAGGCTCAGCCTCAGTGAGGGACCCTGGGGTGTTTTGTTTATTTATCCTTTTAAAAGAAGGCTTCCCATGATAAAACAAAGATTCTGATGGAGCTACGCCAGGTTATTCTGCAGTCATTTGACTTCTAATGATTTAATTTCTTACACTTTTGTCATTGGAGTCACAGAAGTGTTTTTTGCACAGCAAGATGATCGTCTACCTCAGAATGAAATTCAAAGTACTTGGTCAAGGTTGCAGCACTTGATTTCCCCACACACACACTATCAAAGTAAGGCCAGATAACACCTAATGCAGACCAGTGATTGACCTCACCTATAGGAACTTCTCCCTCAGCAGAACCTCCTCCTCATTATGGGAGCATTAATGCAAATTAGGATAGCTGAAAACAAACCTTTTCTTTGACAGTGAAGCCAAGTTCAAGTTCCCCTATTTTTCTGTCAATCAGATAGATCTTATTAGTTGAGAACCATTAACTCCCTGTATAAACAGAAGCTGTACTCAAGGAGCATTTGAAGGTCAAACCACACTGCAGAGCTGGATCTCTCCACACCTTTGCTTTGCCATGCTTAATCTTGTTGCTTGGGCTGCCGCAACCTTCCTCAGCCACAGTGCAGGCTGGTCCTCAGAGCAATCTGCATGTTCTCTCAAAGCTGAATTGAGATTTTTGCACCATTTTCTGGTCACAGAGGGTTTTCCTTCTGGGTAGTGATTGCCTTTAAGGTCCAAATCTAGTGTGCCCTTTTCACTCTCTACTGAGGTGGGACACATTGAGAGGGGAAAGGGTTTGGAGGGACAAGCCTTAGGGAAAAAGTTCTGTTTCATATCTTTCAGTAATACAGTCCCAGAGTTGGGACTCTGCAAATAGTGCAGCGCAAGGGCCCTTGAGCTGTGTATCAAGTGTCTGTACTGTAAATCAAGGGCAGCATCTCCCCAGTGTCCCACCACACTCAAGTTCAGGCAAAAAAGGGAACCAGTCCATATGCCCCTAAGCAAACAGGGCTTTAATCTTCACCTCTGTGATCAGCACTTCAGGTCCCAAACCCAAGACATGAAAATCCTGCACTGCCCATTCCAGCTGGCCTTTTCCCTCTCTGTGTCCTCTGGGGCGTGTTCTCCTCCCTGCTCTGTGGGTGTAAATCCTTGCAAATCCATTAACTTTGGTACAATTACTTTTGGAACTGAAATAGCAAGTGTGAAACTGAACTTTGCGTATTATACACATCTCACACAGTCTGCCATACTGTGCCCACAACTGATGAGCTGTCCTAGTTAGCATTCTCAGAGCAACAAATGGTCCTGGCTCTTTATTTTGCCTTGGCATCCAGCTTCTAATTGCTTTCTCCAGAATATGGGTACCATATGCACTGCAATGCACAAAGAACCTAGTACATACCCTCTGTCTC